CTACTATATAATAGGATAATATATCCCTATATAGATTAATATATTATAAGGTTATCTTTAAAATATATATTACTTACTATTATAATAATATATATTTTATTATTTATTTTAAAATATAATAATAGTTCTTTTATAATATATAAATACTATATAATATATATTACTATATATATATAGTTAGGTAATAGGTTTATTAGGAACCTATATAGAAAAAACACTATAAAGGCTATATTAATTCTAACTATAATTACTATATATAATAATAATCTAATAATTACTTAATAGCTCTTTATTTTACTCTTTAAGGTATTTCCTTTATATAGTAAAAGCTCTATAATAAGTAAAGAAGTCTTTACTATATAGAGGTTATTATTATATTTATTTATATACTAATTTCTTAATATAGGCTTAGTATAATAAATAGATATACCTATTAATTAGGTCTCTTACTATTTTAATACCTAAGAACTAGTTAGCTTTACCTTATTTATATAATATATATTTATTCTTAAAGCCTTATATAATTCCCTTAAGAATTAATATATATTCTAGCTAGGTAAGGGCTAAGATATTATTAATATAAAATATAATATATACTTAATAATTAAATATATAAAATATATAAGGCTCTTCTATATATTAGATAAAGCTAAGCTCTTTTAATATATTAGAGAGTTTTTAGAACTAGAGGTATAAAGAGTTATAAAGCCTATATAAGGCTTAGTATAGGAGAAAAACTTTCCTAAGCTCCTTAAATCCCTTTAATATTATATATATAATAAGATAAATATTATTTCTCTTAGTATTTATAAATATATTCTTAATATTAAATTAAAAGATATATATACTAAATTATATTACTAAAGTAATAATAATATAAAAAGACCTTACTATAAGTATTATAATATATATTTCCTTACTCTTAGTAAGTATTTAAAGGTCTTCTTATATAACTATTTAAGCTTTATACCTTAAGAGTATACTATTAAGGTTAAACTTATATATAAATACCTATTTTAATAATATTAGCTTAACTCCTACCTCTCTATCTACCTTTAACTATATACCTATTTACTTAAACTCCCTTATCTTAAAATATATAGTAGTCTAGAAATAATTATATAATAAGTAAGTTAATATTTCCTTCTAATTCTATAAAGGTAATAGAAGTATTATATTTAATTAGGAAGTTTTTATACCTAAGATTACTTCTACTAGCCTTCTAATATCTATATACTCTTTTATAGCTATATTAAATATTATAAAGACTATTTATAATAACTATTATTTATTTAATATATAATTCTATTACTTAAATAGAATTATTAATAATATACCTTTAGGTTTATTACTTAAAATTATAATATATATCCTAGGCTTATTTAGTTAATTAATATAACTTTTAACCTTTTTTTTAGCCTTTCTTTTACTAATTTAGCTACTTCTTTATTAATTATTTAATAGTTAGTCTCTAGTTATACCTACTTAACTATATAGTAAAATCTTCTCTTCTATATAAGGGGTTATAACTTCTTATATTTTACTCTAAAGGTTCTATACTTAGTTAATTAAGTATTTAGTTTATTAGATACTTAAGTACTTTTATCTCTAGTAGGTAAAGCTCTAATAAAATAATTATTAGATTTTCCTAAATATCTAGTTCTAGTATATTAAAAGGTATTAATAGCCTTACTAATAGTTTATATATATAACTAGGTATAGGCTTTTTAGCTTCTACTTCTACTAACTTATAGCTAGAGTTTTACTTTAATAAATAGTATATACCTTCTTATATAATAGGTTTAATATCTTAAAGAGAATTATTAGGTATATTTAGGTCTTACTAAGTAAGCTATTATTCCTCTTAAGGAATACTTAGCTAATTAACTAAATAATTAGTTATTTACTTAACTACCCCTAAGCTAGAGATACCTAATAAAGTATTAAGTATAAGAAGTAGATAAGGGTGTTTAAGCTTTTTAATCTCTTCTAATTAAGTTTTAACTTTACTAATTAAAAGCTTAAATAAATATTCCTTATCTATTTTATATATTATATCCTTATTAAATTAAATATTCTATATAATAACTATATACTTAAGGACTAGAATCTAGATCTAATAAAGGTTAGTTACTATATAGCTAATAAGGTATCTAATATAATCTTAAAGGCTAACCTTATATTATTTCTAGTTTTTATTCTTTTCTTAATTATACTTAAGGGTATAGGTATAGTAGTTATATACTAATAATAAGCCTTAGTTAGGCTACTTATTACTACCTAGTTAAGTAATAGGTAACTTTAAATTTATTTCTAGCTAGTTATATAATATTTTATATAATATTTACTAATTATAGTATTTCCTTAGGCTAATATTTAATAGGTAATATATAATAATTATAGCTTCTAACTATAGGTTTAAAGGGAGGCCTATTCCCTTAATTATTATAATTACCTTAGTCTATATTTCCTAATTTATATACTTTATACCTCTATTTAGCTTATATATTCTAAGAGGAGTAATCTCTAGCTTAATTCTAGAATAATAAGCCTAGTACTAGTAAATACTCTACCTATATATACTAATAAGTATAGCCTTACTATTATAATATAGTATATATATATAAAGTTTAAATTAATTTTATACTTAAGCTAAAAAAGCTAATATATAGTTAAATAGTATATTATATACTTAATTAACTATAACTTAAGTATATAAATTACCTATAAATTTATCTTTAATTATAAAGAGATATTATTTATTATCTTAGCTAAGTAAATATTATATTAGATCTTAGCTTAAGTATTAGAATAGTTAGGGTAAGGGGTACTTACTTAGGTATTATAATATAACTTATTTTATATATATTTAAATATAGACCTTATATTTAATTCTCTTTATTCCTTTAATCTTAGTGTTTTATATATATATAAGATACTTTAAGGCCTATTTACTAAGGTACCCTAAATATAGGTACTACTTTACTTCCTTATCTATTTAAATAAGTAAAGGTATAGTAGAAATACACTTTAAATATTTATTATTATCTTCTACTACTATATTAATTAGCTCCTTATACTTAAGGTAATTTTTATCTTATTAAAGTAGTTTAAACTCTTAGAAGTAAAGGTTTTTATTTATATATATTAATTTAATAATAATATTATTTTTATATATATTATAGTAAAAGGTATTATTAAAGCTATATATCTAAATACTAATAGTCTTTATTAAATTTACTAAGATAATATTTATATAGAAATAATTAATTAATATAATATATCTTAGAATTATATTATATATTCTATATATACCTTATATATCCTCTTTAAGTATTTAAATCCTATATCCTAGGATTATATATTCTAAGTCTTTAACTCTAATAATACTATATTTAATATAAAAAAATCCTTTATTAAGGAGCTTCTTATTATTAATAATATATAGTCTAGCTCTAATATCTTAAATTATATTATTATAAAGCCTATAATATAATCTTATAGCTAATATAACTATATTAAGTTAGTTAATATACTATAATATATCTAAAGAGA